ATACCCTTTACATTCAATTGTTAACATTTCACCCCATCATCTCAATCATCTGTTCTGTTTCTCTGTCTCTCTCTTTCTGTGTGTAGGTGTATGTCCATTTTCTCTGAACCATTTAAGAATAATTTTGCAGACATCATGTCTCTTTATCCATGAAGTTTTATTTTGCATTTCCTAAGACTTTTCCTCGTATAACCGAAGTTCAATCGTCAAAATTAGGAAATTTAACAAAGCTATCATACTATTATCTAATTCACAGTCCATATTCACATTTTGCCAGTTGTTTCCCTAATGTCCCTATGGTTTTGTTTTTCAATGATTCAGGCTCCATACCAAGATCATCCATCACATCTAGTTTTCATGTCTCTTTTGTTGCCTTTAATCTGGAACAGTTCCTCAATCTTTCTTTTTCTTTCTTGATTTCGATGTTTTGGAAGAGCACACGCCTGTTGCAGAATGTTCCTCAACTGGGGTTTATCTGATGTTTCTTCATGATTACATTCAGGTTATGCATTTTGTTTGTTTGTTTGTTTTTTTATTTTAGAGACAGGGTCTTTCTCTGTCATCCAGGCTGGTGTGCCATGGCCTGATCATAGCTCACTGCAACCTTGAACTTCTGGGCTCAATCAATCCTCCTGCCTTAGCTTCCCAAGTAGCTAGGACTACAGGTGTGCACCACCACATCCAGCTAATTTTTAAATTTTTTGTAGAGGTTGGGTCTCACTATGTCACCCAGGCTGGCCTCAAACTGCTGGGCTCTAGCCGTCTTCCCCCTTTGGCCTCGAAATCCCGGGCTCAAGCTATCTTTCCGCCTTGGCCTCCCAAAGCACTAGGATTACAGACATGAGCCACTGCATCTGGCCCAGGTTATGCATTTTTGATAGGAAGAACACATAAGTGACACTGTGTCCTTCCTAGGGTTTCAAGAGGCACAAGGTGTTGGTTTGTCTCATTATTGTTGTTTACTCTTATTTTGTGGTTAAGATTGTACTGTATTCACCAGATTAATCCGCTACAAAATTATCATTTTCTCTTCATAATCAAGACTCTTCTTTACCAAACTGTTACCGGCTAGTTTTAGCATGCCTTGCTGATTTTGTCTGGACCAACAACGATCCTATGGTGGATGCAAAATGGTCACTTTCTAATTCCATCATTATTTCAATATTTAGTAGTTAGTATTCTACCATAAGGAAACGTTTTCCCTTCTCCCTTATTTATTTGTTTGTCTATTTAAACAGTTGTACTCAAAGTTTGTTATTTTACTTCATAAATATCTTGTTCCTATCATTATTTATTTTGATGCTCAAATTGTCCCAGATTTGGCTTATGTCCCTTGGCTTATGTCCTCATCATTTTTTGAATATTTTCTTCTGGCACAAAAAAATGCCCTACTCCTAGAACCAGACATTTCTACAAGGTTGCCTGGGTCATTTTGGTAGGAGATGGAATGGAGAAGCCAACACCTAGATACTAGGTATAATCATTGCCCTGGGGTGTGTTTGCTTCTAGGCCCTTTTAGGGGACAGACCCTTCCCCCAACACACACACAAGCACCATGTGTTAATACTGATAACTGCAATTCCAATTCAACACTACAGGATTCATTCTAGTCTTCCCTCTTGTCATATTTGAACTTTATTCTTTCATAATAAAATTCCTATCATTATCCTCAATATATTTACTTATGTGCTCAATCCTACGTCACACTACTCTAACCCTTACCACTGAGGAAAACAATCCTCACTGAAGTTCAATATTTCTTTATTTTATTTATTTATTTTTTGGTCTCTGGACCTAGATTATATCATCAAAGAACTGTGTGTGAGAGTTACTTGGGTTTCTTTTTAAAACATACTATTATAGTATCTTCCGTATGGTTATACTATTCACTTGAATACAGTTAAGTTCATTTGTTCCTGATTTTATTCTATTTCCCCAATCCTATTTTATTTTACTTTTTATAAAAAATATAAAATATTAACATTTCTCCAAAAGTCAAAACTCTTATAAAGTTCTCTGAGAAGTGTCACTCCTACCTCCCTTCCATTCCATTCACCTCCATACCCTGGCAACCAGCTCGCCAGGTCACCAAGTTCATTGGTTCTGGGTTTGTCAATCCTGTGTTTATTTTTTGAAAAAATAAGCATATACATGTAGGTGTTTCTCATTTTCTTTCTTTTATACAGAAAAGGTAGCATACCCTATATACTCTTTTATACTTATTTATTTTCACTTAACAATGTATCCTGGAAATAGGCCGTATCAGTTCGTAGAGATCTTTCTTAGTCTTCTTTTCCAGCTATATAATGTTCCATTGCATGAATGTACCATAATTTATTCAGTTTTCTATGCATGGAAATTTATGTTGTTGCCATTTTATAATTATAAGTAATGCATAATGTCGTGCAAATATACTTTTATTTGGGGTGTAGGTCATGACTTTTAAATCAGCTCTATTTCTTTTTCTCTGGTTAAACACATGTAGAGGCAGTACAAAAGGTATTAACTCCTTTCTCATGTGTTAAAACAGAGACTCATGACAATATGCTGACTTAAAAAGCTATACAGGCACTATATGGTCTGGAAAACTGTAACTACATTTTGTGGAAGTAGAAGTTGTACCATGTATTTGTATAACAGCAAGGCGAGTGTGGTCTCTAGGAAGTATAGGTAAAGTTGATTAGATTGCAATGTATACTTAAAAGTTGAATAATGCACTCTTGTAAAACACTCTTCAAAATTATTTAACTTCCCATGATATCATCACAGCATGTGCAAAAAAAAATCTTTAGTGTTATCTTTTCCTGTCACATGACCAGTGCAAACAAAAGAAATCCTTATCTTTTTGTTGCTATTCTGGTCCTTTATAAAATGGCATTAAGCACCATTCAAAACTTACACATTAAAGGTTTGGTTTGGGGGAAAAGAAATTTTTTTTTTGTATTCAAACAAATTATATTTGCTAAATTATAAAGCAAAAATTTTCACAACTGAAGTTGTCTAGCGGGTTATAAAACTTAATAGTTTTAAAATCATTTTCCTATACATTTTCACATATAAGTCTCATAGCAACCCTAGGCATAGTGAACTAAGCTGGAGTTACATTGTCCTTATTTTGCAAAAGAAGAAATAGAGGCATTTAGAAAGTTTAAGAAAATTGCCCTGGGATGTTGGACTCTGGGCTAAATCCTGAACTGGAATCCAGGACTATTCTTTTTTTCTCTCTATAAAGCAGGACGTAACTGTCTTATAGGGTTATTGTGGTGACTAAATTAGATAATGTACATGCAAATGCTAAGGTGTTCAAAGAGAAGGTAGTTCTATTATTAAATTACATATACACACACATATACAAGAGATTTAAGCAGTCTAAGAGCTATAGATCACACAGCAGAAAGTGTTCATGTGGAAAAATATTTCATAGACTGAACTAGTACCTCTAGGAGCAGGTGATGATAATATATATCCATTGTGGAATAATTAACAGCATTATATGTTGCACAGAAATTAAACCTTGAAACAAACCTCATTAAAAGGCACCGATCTAAGTTTAAAACCTTTAAGTACCTCCTCTTTAAAAGTGATCAATGTATGTACTGGCTACTTTAGTTATCCCGCTATGAGATTCACACAACTTTGATCTAACTTTCTTTGATTTAACACTGCAATTAAGAAGATTTGGTTCAAAGTAAAAGCTCATTGGTTGATGTTTTACACTGATGTGATAATGTTTACACAGATGTGCTTTGAAATCTTGATTATGGTGGATTTGGGGGTCCTACCACAAGACAGACTGCTGTTATTTGAAAGGTGAAATAATATAACATTTACCTAGTACAACCTTTAAAACAGACTTAGCAATATACATTTCTAAAGTGATTTATCTGTTTATTGTTTTTAGCCAGTGTTTTTGTTTTATTTCATATCTATCAACAGTAAATCGCTTGCTTTAAGGATTCTTTCATAACTTGGATGCACAAGGGTTATTACTTAGGCCCATAGTGATGAAAAGGTGTAACTATACCGACTTTAAAGCACCTGCCAATTAATTAGAAAAAAATCCTTCAGAGCAAATGAAATAAACCAGTCAAATCCAACTGAGCTCCCAGGTTTAGGCTTTTGCTGAACAGATCATGAAACAAGACAGAAAAACTAATCTTCAGTGATTACCTAAAACTTTTTTGCTCAGGGGAAGCATAAATTTGCCAAATAATTCTCAACTCTTCTGCCACTGAAAAATTTTAATGGGAAGATCTTGAATTTAACTAGTGGTACAGCACTAAAGTTTCAGTGTTTCAATGGACATGTATCTCACTCCTTCACTTAAATGGCTTTTTACTTTACACATATGTACTCTTAAATTTTACCAGTAATCTTCTGAAGTCTCAAAACACATCAACATTATTTCCATTCAGTTGTTTTTAGGTTTTATAATCAAAGCGTGAACAAAAAAAATCTAGCCTTTGAGAAAATGCGACTAAGAAGAACAGGGACCTACTCTTAGATTGTATAAGGGACTGGGAGGCCATTCAGTATTTATGACATTATTCCAGATATTCATTTTCTATTCATGGCAAAATATAAGAATGTAAACCATTTCTTTTCAGTTTATTTGGATTTTCCCTATATCCCTTGATTCATGATTATATTATCATATTATGCTAATTAAAAGTTCATGCCCTTAGCACACGATTTAAAACTTTCATATATATATACACACATATATGTATATGTGTGGTAATCTTGGTTATATCATGTGCTCAGTAAAAATAAACATTAAAGAGAACTTGGGAAGGGGGGGGAGGGTGTTCCTAACCTAACCGTGATTATGTAAAGAAAATCCCCCATCTAAATGATAAAAGAAAAGAGTAATGCTTGTACATTTTATTAGTGTTTTAAAATTAGTGAGTTAAACTGTCAAAGCTTTGATTTTCCTTTCATGTGTGTCTGGGCAGGTCTAAGCCTCAGGTAACGCCCTTTTTCCTTCTCCCTCTCTTACCTTCCTTTGCACCTGTCCACTGCAGGCTCCCAGCAGCTCCCAAGGATCCAATTCTCCTCTTCTCTCCTCTTCCTTCTCCTACCCATTCCCTCCTTTTCTCTCTCTTCACCCCCCTTCCCACCCTCCTCCCTTCCTCTTCTCCTATATACCTGCCAAGCTGGGCTCCTTTGGGCGGCGATCTCTCACTGCAAAGGAGCTCACATCAAAGGCGGTCGCACGGCAGCAGCCGAGCAGCGCATCACCGTTGTCCCAAAGACATCCCCAAAGAGGGGCCTCGACTGCGCCTCCCCGAAGTTGCTGGCTGGGTTCGGCCAAGTGCGGGAATGAATTTTGCGAGGGCGTGGATAGAGACCCGTCAAGGGCCCCTTTCGGTCACTTCCGAAGAGCAAAAGACGTGTTGAGAGGAGGCCGGTTTAAGATTTCAAACAGAACCTCCCCAGCGCGCATGAAAGGACTCGATTAGCATATGTCAAGAGGACCCGCATATATACTCGGTGTGTATGTACACGGGACTCAGATCCGATCAGTTTGCGGAGTCGGAGCCCCAGCCCCCAGCCCCAGCCCCGGTATCGGCAGCGGCAGCTGCAGATGCTTCTGGAAGCCGGCAGCCGGCTCCCACCTACCCGAGGAGAGAAGCTCCTCCAAGACATTGAGAGCTCTCCTGCCATTTCAGTGCCAAGCCCCTGCAGCGACCTCACAGGAGTCACCGGGCCTTAACTTCTTGCGCTTGTTTTGCTGTAATTTTTCTGCACCCACCTCCCTACCCCCGCCACACTTTTTTATTGGGGGTCCTTTGTTTTCCGGATCCTCCGCCTCTCCCTCCGGCCCCTCCATGGCTCCCTTGGCCGAAGTCGGGGGCTTCCTGGGCGGCCTGGAGGGCTTGGGCCAGCAGGTGGGCTCGCACTTCCTGTTGCCGCCCGCGGGGGAGCGGCCGCCTCTGCTGGGCGAGCGCAGGGGCGCGGCGGAGCGGGGCGCCCGCGGCGGGCCGGGGGCTGCGGAGCTGGCGCACCTGCACGGCATCCTGCGCCGCCGGCAGCTCTACTGCCGCACCGGCTTCCACCTGCAGATCCTGCCCGACGGCAGCGTGCAGGGCACCCGGCAGGACCACAGCCTCTTCGGTACGTACCCGCACCCCCGCCCACCCCCGCAGCTCGGCGCCTCTTCCCCTCCGCGTGCGCCTCCCGCCTGCCTCGCCTGCCCGGGGCGCCCCTGCCCCCGTCCGGTGCGAGTCGCAGGCTGGGGCCGCAGGGCGGGCCAGCGCAGGGACAGGGAGGACGTCTCCTGCTCGCTTGTCGCCTCTCGCAGGCCTGCAGCGCCAGACGCTGGGGGCGGGAGGAGAAAGGGTGGGCGCTCTCGACCCTCTTTGCTGCATTGCCGCCTGGCCCTGCCCTGTCTACTGCCGGGGACACCAAGGCCTGGACTGGGAATCACAGTTCTCGCACTCCTTACCGTGCAGGCATTAAAAACAAAAAAAAATCCGTATGTTATTTTCTCCTGATTCCTTTCCCATTTTCCCCAGTACCGTCCACTTTACAAAAGTTAACAACAGAAAACATTGCACTGCTTTAAACATGCCCCACAGTTATGCAGTTGATTATCCATCCGTGGCTACTACTCAGGGGGGTCGCTCTTGCATAGGATGCTGGCATTTATGTGTCTACCTGGAGAACTGTAAATGTTCACCTGAAGAGGTAACATTAACTTTCCGTGGGCACCGTCGCTACCGTTGGGCTCAACTGGCTGCAATTTTCTGAGCTCCTAAGTGCTACCTGGGTGAGAAAAAAAAAAAAAAGGGAAAAAAAAAGTCTGCCGGGCTACTGAGCAGGCTCAGATCCTCTTTAGAAATTGTGAAACCTGAAAGCAAGGATCTTGGTATTGACCTTAGGTAAGAGGAAATGAGAAAGCGAAAGAAGATATGGGTGGGAACACAGAGGGACGTTTCAGAATACCTCCAGCAGTGCCTGGGAGGAGAAGGGGTTAAAAGAAAGAAAAAAGCACATGACTGTTAAGACAGTGCTTGCCATAGACACTAGATTGGGAAGGTCTTTACTGTTAAGTACTCCTTAACTAGCTGTGTAACTAGCAAGCGCCCTCATCAGTCTGAGATTTAATTTTCTTGTCTGTACAATGATGAGGTTAAATGAGGTCATCGCTCTAAGGTGCTTTCTGGTTCTAACAGTCCAAGAAAGTCCAAGAACTTTCTCCCACAGCTGAAGTTTTCATTATATTAGAGTTAACCTGCTGGCAATCGCAAAGGATTTTGATCATCCAACTTTTGACATCATTGGAGAGATTCATTATATTTTTTCAGAAAATACCAGTTATTTGTGAGCCACAGTGAGAAAAGACAACAGTGTTAGTTTTGCTTTCCCTTCCTTAGCACTGTGGAATTCTTCGAGAACCCCATCTCTGAATAGCCCTCTCTTATCTTGTCCTTGTCCCCCTGTTCTCCTTATACTCTTATTCCTTTTTTGACTTGTACGACTCATTAAAACTTTGGAGATGTGTAAATCTCAGTTCCAGGGGCATTTGTAACTCTGGATGTAGAAATAAGCATGTGGTGGTCATTTGGTAGCACTTAAAGGCTTAGAAAATTAACTTCTTAAAGCCCATGTGTTTGCAGCTTCCACTGATCTCTTCCGAATTCCCACTGACTATCAGTCAAGAGTGTCATGACCTAGTGGCCAACCTGGGGTCACTTTTGGAAAGTGGTTTTTAAATTGAGGAGGCTTGAGATTCTGATTCTAAAGGACTTTGTGACACCAGGTGGCTCAGTTCTCTGCTGTCAAGGATGACTGCACTCCAGTCATTACAGAAAAATAGTCTAACTACCAGAAGGATTTAGAAATGGACACAAATGTGATAATACTTATAGGTAGAGCAGGTAGAAGTTAAGCTTAGATTCCCTGCAATACACAGTGTAGTTCTGGAAATTTTGCTTTTAAGACACTTGTAATTCAACTGTAATCTCCCAAAGACTGAAAAAAAAAAAAAAAAAAGAACCCCCCCCCCCAAATGCTGCTGCTTCTTTGTGTCTGTTTATAAGACCGACCCCATGGCAAGAGATTAGTAAATATTTGTTAACTTGATAACATTCATTAATGGTATTTAAATCCATTTCCTTAAGAATGGATGTTGTATATTAGAATGACCATCTTGTTAGCATGTTTTTTTCTAAAATTTTGAATAATTATTTAGTAGTTGGAAAAATATGACTTAGACTGGTTTTGTGCTGGTGTAAGTCATTGTATGTTGGGAGGCTATATTTGGGAACAAAATATTCACTGTCACACAAAAGGAAGATAACCCAGATTAGTCTGGTGACCTAGTAGAGTGAACAGCCACCTTACAATATATTATAGTGCATCCTAGTGGCCTTCAATAGCTTAGACATCATAACTTACTACAAGAGAGTGTAGTAGGTGAAAAGAAAGTTTATATTTAACCTATATAACATTAATACTTCTATGTTTGCCTTCTTTTGCTAGTGCTTCTTTTACTAGTTATTAAATTATTTTGTTATTTTTCTTTTAATCTCTTATCTGTGTCATCAAAGTAAGAATTTTGAAAACACTCAAGAATGGCTATCTGAGATGTTAAAGTAAATGACATTTTTCATAATTTTATACTAATTTGGCCATGATCAAATAAACACTCAGAATACTGTATTTTTAAATTTCAAAACCACATCAATAGACTATAAATAGAAAGGTCCCTGTGAGGTCAAAATAATTTCCTATCTGAGTTATCTCTGTATTTATAATCGAGTTTTTCTGCACAGTAATACAGTAGGAAGACCTTACCTAATACGTAAACATGGAATCATTACTTTAAAAAAAAAATTAGGCTGAGATCAAACGTATTTCTTTAAAGGCTTTTCCTTTATTCTCCCCTATTCTCCATAGATTTGTCTGATGTGGTTGCATTGTGGGTTGACTCACCTGTTTATTATGATTTTCAAAAAGGCTGGCTTTGAAAATGATACCAGAAAGACAAAGTACCTCCAAGTCTTTTTATGGGACACTGGGCATTAGAAAATCTATCTAAAATCTGTGATTACCTCTTAAGGAAAGTTTTTCATGTCTACCCTTTGTAAGGGAATTAGCTTAGTTGCCACCTCATATTATAAATAAGAAAGACTTGTCAAATCTCATTTAAGAATCAAATGATTACAAATTACTATGTGGTATACTATTTCCTCCAGGAGAAAAAGGATCAGAATTAAAAAGTGTGACTAAAATCTTTAAGAGGAACACAAAAAAACACATCACTCTTTTCCCATCAGACCTGTGAGCTATTGCAAAATTATTTATGCCTGGTTATGTATTAGGTTTTGGATGTAGTTTAATAAAGTTGAAACTATTGAATATAATTATTCTAAGAACATATGCAATCTTTTTTGTTCTTCCTACAACTACATTTTTTTTTTTTTTGGCAAGATGACAGCATTATCTTAAGATGAGAATTAAAGTATAGGTGGTTTAGCATTTAGTTTTTCCAAGAAAAATGAATACTTTATGAGATTTGTTATATAATTAGCTTATATGGAAATTAAAGCTATATTGTATGGTACTTGAATACGTGTTCTATTTTACATTCTAATCAGTTAATCAGTTCCTGTTCTTTGAAAGAACATCTTAATGTAAATCAGATACCTTTTAAAGGGAATTAAGTTGCATGTCAGCCATAGTGCACTTTTTAATTTGAATGTAACATTTAATACAATGTAAAGTAATTATACGTTTGTAATTATATCCTGGATGAAATTACATTAATATATTTTTTTTCTACCAACTATGGTTTGGGCCTATATTTTTGTTTCTAACGAGTCCTTCACTAATGAGTGTGGCAATGAATTTGATTTTCTCTTACTCTCCTCCTCCGTATTTGTTGTTATGGTGGCTATCCTATGGAGTCTGGGTCTTCTTGCTATATCTTATCTTCTCTCTGCCTTAGGCTCTCAATTAGAGACACTGGCTCTTTCAAGCCACTTAGAGACTATTTAGTAGTGTATTGTTGCTGTAAGATTCTTGATAGCCCTAGTGTTCTACATGATCTCCTAAGAGTTTGAAAGAGCTCATTTGTCTTGCTTAGAATCTACGTTTCTGCCAAAGAGTGAATTAGGCTCGGGATAGAATAGAGCCCTCCGTATCAGCAAATAGTCAGATTCTGTACTTTCCCTTGGCCTTGAAGAGTATCACGTGTCCAAACAGGAACTTGTACAATAAATCAAGAAATGACTTAAGAGCAAGAGTCAGGCTAAATGGTACACATTTGTACTGTTTGTAGAGCTTAAGATGGGGTGAAGGGGTGAAGGCAGAAAACTATTGAGGGAGGCAGTTCCAAGCATAGAAAGTGTAGCTATGCTTTTTCAGTAGAGTCTAAGGGGAAGGACTAACAAAGGCATTAGTCCAAAGTGTAGTGTGTGCAGAAAAAAAGGGTAATGCAGTGGAAGGTGTTAAGTTTTTTTATTTTTGTTTTTTAAACTATGGTGTATCGGTGTATTAAGTGGAAAGGTTTTGATACTACTTTACCTGTTGATAAATGAAAATAGTGCTAGAATGTTATTGATAGCAAAATCTACTTGCATGCACAACTCATGGTATTCGGCTATCATATTTAATGAATTATAAAGTCTTTTTACTTCTCTGAACTATTACAATTTATTTTTAAAAATCACGTGTACCAGGAAACATAACGTATTGTTTAATCT